TTGCGTACTTCTGTATAGGGGCATAACAGTAAACAGTAGGTCATTTTGTTCATTAGTGTAGCCTTAAAATTTTCACTTGCAATATCCATTAGATATTCTAAGAAGCGCTTATTTGACTAGGGTTGTCACCTGTATAACATAGTCGCTATATTTTCCCTTTAGAGTTAGCGTAAAATATCAGAAAAAAATTAATCTTGCCAATTGTTATAAAAATAATAATGGTTTTTATTAAAATTAAAATAAATAATTCAAATTGCTAACCATATGAATAAATAAATTGCAATATTTACATAAATATACACATAACATTTACTCGTACATGTATATTTAAAAAAGTAATATTTTTATTATTCTTCTAAATTATTTAAATTAAAACAAATTAAATAAAAAGAAGTAAAAAATGTATTATGTAAATTTATAATTGAATTGATAAAATCTGATTTATTTCTAAATACACTAACAAAAGGTATTTTTTATTAAATGGAAAAAATGTGAGCATGAATTACACATGTCTCATTGGTGTAAGTTTATGTTATTTCTAAAGAGACAATTAATGAATATTAATTGGCTTGCATTGAAAAATAATGTCATTTATTTTCACAACATAATAATTGGTACTATTACATCGGATTAGTGCCAGCCCTACCACACGTCTACCATTTTATGATCAAGTGAGATTGCGTTAGGCGGTGATGGCCATTCGCCAATTGACTTTGAATGGAATCACTTATCACATACATTTATCTATTGGGAAACTATGTAAGATCATTGGAACTCATGTATGCAATAAATAAATAAAAAAAAAAAACTGACAACCAAATGTTTTGGATAAATTATTTATTTGTGGAAAAATAAGTGGATGAATTGAAGAGACTGGCATTTGATCACTAGTATTTATCCGCGACAATTTTCACGCGTATGAACATGGAAGTAGGAAGTAAGGAAATTAATGTAAAAAAGTCACTTCTAATTGGCGTATTGAGAAAAAAAAAAACCGCATCCAATCTAATTCTCTTACACACTTATAGATCTTTGCGTAATACCAACGTAATCTGTGATGTTTGTTCTGGTATAAGCATTACAGATACACAATTTCATAAATTATATTTTTTTTTCTTCTATTACTCTTATTAAGACCGACTCCCCCCTCCCTCACATGAATTTGTCTGATATATCTTTTTTTTTTTATACAACTTAGAATGGCAAACAAGCTGACGGCCCACCTGATGGAAAGTGGTAACCGTCGCCTATAGACATGAGCAGTACCATGGATATAACAGAGTATACTGTTTCGCCCATGATACCCCCCATGCGTTGCCATTCCTGAGGACTCATATGTTATTCCTCTCTACCCAGTAAATTCACGCCATATTCCACCCTTCCAACCGAAACACAGCCATGCAAACACAGCTGCTTCACGGTTGAAACACGAATGGGACAGAGCCAAGCAATCGACTTTTGTACAAAGTCTCCCTCTGGTATCTATGTATAATGCTATATGTTACAATTATTTTAATGAATAAATAAATAAATAAAATATAATATTAAGTCCGCCTTTTATACCAAACATTTTTTTTAATGTAATCTATAAATAATAAATAAACGTATTTAGACATAATTTGTTTACAGTTTTATTACATGTATATACTAGTAAATAATACGTTTTCTTTCTTAAGACGGTATCTATTCATCTACTGCTGCTGATAGCAATTATCAGTCTCAATTTCTATATAATAATAAACAAAGTCGCTTTCCACCATCTGTACGCTTAGATCTTTTAAACTACGCAACGGATTTTAATGCGGTTTTCATCTATAGATTGAGTGATTCAAGAAGAAGATTTATATGTATAGTTTAACATTGCTTTGTGTTAATTTATTAAAATATAATATATTGTTTTATGTTGATTTATTGGAATATGATGATAAATGTTCAAGATGTCGGAAGAAATCAAATGGGCTGAGAGCTTTCATTGAAAATGCTGAAATATAACAAAATAATATATAATCGAATTATTTCTTTTCGTTCGGACTATAAAAAAGTTAGATAGCTCTCTATAAATATTTTAATGTTTTAAAAAATATATAAAAGTTTTGTGAAGTTTGGAAAACTATTTTTTTTAAAACAACTTAGAATGGCAAACAAGCTGACGGCCCACCTGATGGAAAGTGATAACCGTCGCCTATAAACATGAGCAGTACCATGGACATAACACAGTATACTGTTTCGCCCATGATACCCCCCATGCGCTGCCATTCCTGAGGACTCAGGTATTATTCCTCTGTACCCTGTAAATTCAGTAAATTCATTTAGTATTTAGATGGATACAACAGTAATATTATGAATCACTCCCCATTGTTACCATGTTGTTTCTACAATGCACTCGTGGGAAGTCGAAGCAAGTCGCTAGTTATAAACAAATAGCGAACTACTATGAGTGTAACTTCACGCGAATGCCTTAAGGGGAGGAAGAGATAATCGGATACAAAATCCTGTTTCGATTCACACGTCGCTCAATCCTCTTTTATAAATCGTGTCATGCATACACGCTAGTTCCGGAGACCCTTGACTCCTCCACAGATAATATTTACACTACTAAGATCAATAGAGATTACGTATATCAGATTAGATAGATAGACAGATACACTTTATTGTGCCCTTCAAGAAAAATTTTTTTTTGTACAACTTAGTATGGTAATCAAGCTGACGGTCCACCTGATGGAAAGTGGTAACCGTCGTCTATAGGGGGAAAAGGGATTGTTAGTAATGGCGACTAAAAATCCCATTGCTAGCAACCAGGTCGACCTCCACGCGGTTCCCCCTGAAAACTATCAAGATTGATTCTTCATGATGAATTCATCATGATAGGCTAACTGGCCTGTTTTCATTCTCATCGATCACCCTTCACTGGTGATTCGCCAACGTATCCCGTTAGCGCAGGCGGGGTTACCAATCCATTTTTATCCAACAAAAGCCGTCGTCTATAGACATGAGCAGTAGATACCGTGGACATAACAGAGTATACTGTTTCGCCCATGATACCCCCCATGCGTTGCCATTCCTGAGGACTCAGGTGTTATTCCTCTGTACCCAGTAAATTCACGCCATATCCTACCCTTCAAACCGAAACACAGCCATGAAAACACAACTGCTTCACGGTTGAAACACGAATGGGACAGAGGTACCCAAGCAATCGACTTTTGTACAAAGTCTCCCTCTGGTGAATTACAGTAAAAGAAAAAAGAAAAAAATAGAATGTAAAAAAACAATGGGCGAACTTATTATTAAACGTATTCTTTCCAGACAACTTTATGATGAAGAGAAATAATTAGTGAGATTCAAAGTTCAAAGTGAAAAATATTTTTGTACAAAATTACCTGCATAAATTTAAAGTCTAAATTATGACTTTGGCAGTGATTTATACGTTTTGTTAATATTAACATTAAAAACAAGAAAAAATTCATTATATGTTTATAAAAGATAACTTCTAAAACCACTCAACTTTTTTAAAAAATACTTTCCCCTATAATGTACCAGAGGGAGACTGTACAAAAGTCGATTGCTTGGATACCTCTGTCCCATTCGAGTTTCAACCGTGAAGCAGTTGTGTTTGCATGGCTGTGTTTTCGTTTGAAGGGTGGGATATGGCATGAATTTACAGGGTACAGAGGAATAACATCTGAGTCCTCGGGAATCAACGCATGGGGGGTATCATGGGCAAAACAGTATACTCTGTTATGTCCATGATACTGCTCATGTCTATAGGCGACGGTTACCACTTTCTATCAGGTGTGCCGTCAGCTTGTTTGTCATTCTAAGTTGTATAAAAAAATTTCAAAATATCAATCCCGTGCGAAGTTAGGCCGAGTCGCTAGTTTTAAATAGATAAAAATGCAATGGAAACTCCGCCTACATGGGGCATCATTGATGAGATACTTAGATGAGTGAAGAAATATGAAGTCAAGTTAGCTGACATATCATGACGAGTTCCTTAGGAATTAACCACAATGTTTTCCAGGCGAACTACGTAGAAGTCGAATTGACTGGATACATTACTAATTTATGATATGGAATAAAATACAATTTTTATATGTAACAGAGCATATAAAAGAGCATGACATGTATTATTTTCGTGATTGTAAGTCTCAAACAACACGAAAAACAAATTTTTATTTTTTTTTATTTTATTATATAAAAAGATCTTGCAAAAATTCTAAAAAAATATATGATATACTCTGTAATGTAACCTATAACCTCGCATTGGTCTCGCTTCTTTAGCTTAATAAGTTTTTGAGATATGTTACTTTGAATAACAGTCATGCGTATGGTTATTTTTTCTCATATCTCAAGGTCAAGGTGAAAATTGGTCGCGAAATATACATAAATCGTGTTGGTACACCAAGTAGATATTAAAACATAAGTTTCGATATAGGTTCCCATTTGGGGGCAGATTCGACATATTTATCCGGCTAAACCCTTTATCCACCAGTGGTACTGAGTATCTGAACGAGGAAATACTCAACAAATTCGAATTAGATAAAAATTTTGTTAAGTTCAAATACAATTACGACCTTTCTAAGTCTCTTCAAATAAATTGAGTAACATTCTTTTAAACCCTCACGAGGCCTGTGCCACATGTACAAATTGTGTTATTGAAAACAATAATGAAATATGTTTATGTTTTACGTATGTAAATCTGAATGTAAGAATATTGGAGAGGAAGGGATTGTTAGTGATGGAGACTAAGAATCCCATTGCTAGCAATATATCCAACCAGGTCGACCTCCTCGCGGTTCCCCCTGGAAACTATCATGATTAATTCCAGATGAATTCGTCATGATAGGCTAACTGGCCTGTTTTCATTCTCATCGATCACCCTTCACTGGTGCCCCGCCAGCGTATCCCATTAGCGCAGGCGGGGTTACCATTCCATTTTCATCCAATAAAAAAAAATTTAAGAATATTTTTTATAATGCGTTTGTTTCAGTAAAAGAATTAAATGTATGTATGACTTTATTTAGACAAACACATATCAAATACTCTTTTGTAGTAAGCCGTTTAAATATGTATTCATTGAACGCGTCAATCGCAAGTGTACCTTTTTTTTGTGGTAAGACAAGTTTTTAAAGTTATCACCTTCTGCTCGATTCTGGTCCCCGTATAAAACTGTCGTTCGTTCATCTTTATTATATTGTTGTTTGGAAGTTCTTCCATTTCTGAATTAGTTACTATTTATAGGATTTCAGATTTACTCACTACGACTAACTTTTTTGTTTTTTTTTTATACCACAAAGGTAAACAAGCATACAGCCCGTCTAATGGTAAACGGTCACTGTAGCATATGGACGCCTGCAACACAAGGGGTGTCACGTGCACGTTGTCAACCTTAAAGAAATCTTAATATATCCTTTTTGAAGAACCCCATACTGTAGTCTCTAGGGGAAAACATCGGCAGGGAGCTCATTCCACAGCCTGAGCTTTCGTGGGAGAAAATTCCTCTGAAACTGCACTGTTCGTGACCATTTAGGTTCAAGCGTGTGAGGATGAATTCCCTGTCGATGGCGAGCGTCTATAATAACTCTGTCTTTTAATGAAAACTGAATAAATAATTGAAAATTCATTTCACCAGTTACTCACCGTTATTGCTTTAGTATCCGTTATGTTGATGCCTTACATTCAAATACTTTTGAAAGTGTTTTCTTACCTGAAAAAAAGAAAAGACATTATTAGACTTTGTTAGTTTCTGTCATTTTGGTTTCAATCGACTTGAAGATGGCCGTTTCGCATTCTATTACTACTTTCCATCAGGTGAGATATCATCCTTGTTCAGATTCTTGGTCAAATCTTTCTCACCTATTATGCCTATAGTAGCCCGCTGGTGCAAGTCAAAAGCGCAAGCGGGTTTAATTAATTAATTAATTTAAGGTAAACAAACAGCTAAAATAATACATAATTATATACTTAAATAGTAATTTGGTAGCCACTAGAATTTGTATAAAATAAAATACAAGTAAACGATACACAAAATTAGACAATACTGAAATTAAACAAATATAAACAAAATTAAACAAACAAATACTATTGAAAACCACAGCATTGACAATGTGTCAATAATAATGCTCAGAAGTTAATAAAACATTTTTTCAGAAAATTACATTTTCAATAAAAATAAAACTGTGTTTGCATTCGATTGGAGTACACAAAGCATAATATATTTAAAGTGCGTCAAAGTCAGTAACGATAAGGTGACACGGCGCGGCAGACGCGTCGGCGACGAGATTTGAATTGCAATGAACACGTGCGACGGGTGCGGCGCGGCTGTGCGGCGGTGCGACGGTGCGACGGTACCGCGTAGAGATGAGCGACATCACTGTAATATCGAAATTTATTGTTGATATCGCTAGCTTAGTATGGAGGTGTGGACTTTTTTTTTAATTGGATGATAATGGTATGGTAACCCGGTCTGCGCTAACGGGATACGCTGGCGGGGCACCGGTGAAGGGTGATCGATAAGGATGAATACACGCCAGTTAGCCAATCATGATGAATTCATCAGGAATTAATCATGATAGTTTCCAAGGGGAACCGCGAGGAGGTCGAACTATTTGGGTATATTGCTAGCAATGGGATTCTTAGTCTCCATTACTAACAATCCCTTTCCCGCCAACACGGAGCCGTGGACTATGAGATGATATGTATAATTTAAACATAATCATGTTCATCATATCAGGCTTTAAATGGCCTCCTCCTTCGGGGGGAGGGGGGTTGCCAATTACTACGCTTGGCAGGCGGGTTGGTAACCGCTGTCACGCTTTAGAGATGTTTTAACAGGGGCGCTGCTATTATTTATTTATGTATGTATTTAGTGTATGTATATATTAATTTATTTAATATATTATGTGTATGTTTATATTAGTAATTATATGTTTGTATTATATGAATATAGTCAAGTATTGCTTTATATTTCCTCTATTCAAAAATGCACCGCCTACGTATTTTCTGTATGCCCAATGGTTGAATGGTTGAATGGTAGAGAACACCGTCCGGTGTTGAGTCCGCCAAATGTACATAGAATTTTACTGTGTATTAAAGTTAAACTTTATAAATATATATATATATATATATATATATATATAAATGAATATTTTTAGCCTGAGTTTTTAAATCAAATTAAAAAATATATAAGTGTACCCTTTACTGTGTGTACTAATGGGGAAAAATAGTAAAAAAATCAAAACGATATTTTTATATATTTATTTTGAAAAAAACATTTGGTATTATTTTTGATACTTTAGGCATTACGGTAATCAAAATATTGAAATTTATTTAACAATGAAACAATACAAACCCCGGTATCGAATTTGAAACTTCAGGTATTTAAGGGTTTAGCAACAGAGGAAAATAAAATATTAAAACTATCTATCTAAAAAAGGTACGTATTTTATCTTATTATGCATTAAAATACACTTTCAGATATCGATATTTCGATTACCATTTCAAACTCATCTCTAGCACCGCGAAGCCGCGCTGACGGGAGCGGCAGCCTGAAGTAACGGACGAACTATTACATATTTATCGCTTCACACCTATATTTTGTCGAATTGATTTGTTTTTCAAATGATAGGTTCGGGAAAAACGTGTTTGTTAACATTTCTCAAGGTGAAAGTCTCATTAGTAGAAATTATTAGCTGTGTACATTGTGTATTAAATATTATATATATATATATATATATATATATATATATATATATATATATATATATATATGTGTGTACATTATGTGTACGCATTTCTGTATATCAATTACTATACAGCTAAGACTAAGGGAAGGCGAGATATGAGCAGCAGCGTCCCTCTTAAAACATCTCTGAAAGCCTAACTGCGGTTGCCAAGCGTGGCAACTACTGGAAAAACTCTCCTTATGAGGAAGGCTTATGTTTTTTTTTATACAATTTAGAATGGCAAACAAGCTGACGGCCCACCTGATGGAAAGTGGTAACCGTCGCCTATAGACATGAGCAGTACCATGGATATAACAGAGTACATTGTTTCGCCCATGATACTTCCCGTGCGTTGCCATTCCTGAGGACTCAGGTGTTATTTCTCTGTACCCAGTAAATTCACACCATATCCCACCCTTCAAACCGAAACACAGCCATGCAAACACAACTGCTTCACGGTAGAAACACGAATGGGACAGAGGTACCTAACAATCGACTTTTGTACAAAGTCTCCCTCTGGCACCTGTGCAGCAGTGGTCAGTTAACGGCTAAAATAAAAACAGTTATTATAAAGAATACTTTATGGTTTTTCCATTTGGAGATTACAGTATTTTTTTATGGTTTCAGGTAATCGTGATCCGGAACTGGAATGTATTCTGAATTTTATAGTTTTTTTTTTTATCTTTATTGAAGTACTCTTGTTCATATTTTTTCTTTAATACCGTACCATACAGTGAAACCGCTCTACTTATCGATAGTTAAATAACTCCGCGATAGTAGTACAAATTATAAAAATAAATTCCGAACTCCATCAAGTACTAATAACCTCCAGCATTATCAGATTTTTTTATTTTAGTTCGATCTACGCGACTCTCTTGCCAATTATGAAAATGCTAAACATTTTATTGCGGTACAAAATATTAAATTATTAGTTTTTTACATTTTCACAGACTTTTAAACTTTGTTGAAAGGTATCATATTTGGAGATTGTAATAAATTTAAAACATTGTCTAGCAGTTTTTACAAATTTAAAACATTACAATCAAAGGCCAAATTGACATGAGAGCAGGATGACGCTAAGGTCGGGCGCACACGAACGATTACGCGATAGTCGCATTGTCCGCGGACAGCGGCCGAGCGTGGCCAATTGTGTGTAATTACATGCTCAACTGATATTCACGTGACTGTAAAATTACTACGAAATTACTAACGGACACCATACAATAAGGGCGTTGATAACATTAGACGACGTTATTATTTAAGAATCAAATGATAAAAATAATTTAAATACGGGCATTTCTGTACAAAACATCAATGGGACATTTAGCCATTGGCGTAAATATTTATAAATTCAGGCGATATTGTACAAACTCAAAAATAAAGGGAAGAAGATAATGCAGTGAAGAAGGTATTACATATGAATGTCGATGCTTTTAATATAGAAGAAGATCTAAGAAAGTGTGAATAAAAAAATGCGATGGACAGAAAGGCGACTAGTGAGATGATTACAAATAGAAATGAATGGAAGAAGAAAACATAGTATGCCGGCCACAAATAGATATGGAGAAAGGGCATGGTGAAAAACATAGACTGGTCATTTTGTACAAAGTTATTTTTTATTTATCTTTTTTATTTAATACTTTATTGACACATTAGATAAAAATATGACAGAGAAACAAAAGTACAAAGAAAAAAAACACCCAAAGTGGAAAGGAGCATCAATGTCAGCTTGAAAGATACAACAGTGTACAATTTTTAAACAGCCAAAATTAAATTAATTACATTATATTTTATCGTACAAATACACATATACATATACATAAATATATATCTACATCTATGCATATACTTACACATACATACACATATACCTACATATATAGTTACATATCTGTCTGTCTGATGTCATCTCAGTGCATACTCACTGTACCTATTATGGTACTTTTAGTCACACGTGTTGTAACTCCAGTGAAATAAGGTGGTATAGTGGTAGTAATCTCTAGTATCAAGAATAATAAATATAAATATAATACAGTTAATGTCCTTCGAAGCAACATAGCAACATGGAAAGAGACGGATGAGAATTAGGCCACACCTGAGTTTAGACTTAGAATCTAAGAAACGAAATTCAAAAGAAAATTAGCAACATTATTATTAGATACTTATTTGCAAGAGAAATTACGCTTTTCATTGAACAATAGCCTTCTAAAACAATAGAAATGGAACAAATTATAGAACATTTTAGTTTAGTTACGCTCGTTGCCCAAAAGTTTAACTACCTAAAATATATTAAAATACAAAGTAATTTTTGGAGCGTTGAATAATTAAAACTTATACACTGTATAAAATAATTCTAGTTTATTATTATTCTGATAATATTATATTGTTTTAGACAGCGTTATGACCTAGTAATTTACTATGCCCATTTATAGATACCAAATAAAAGTCCCGAGTTCCAGTTTGACCGACTTTACTATATCGTATATCAGTGAATATGTTCGACTAATTCTTCAATGACGTGTGATGACGTAGACCTTTACGGAAATTACAAATTGAACAAACACAATTGTGGACAAATGGCAAACTAGGCCTATTCGTAAACATGGCTAAACTCGAAGTTTATTTGTTGATGCTGCCAAAACGAAGAGGAAGTGCCACAGCATAACCTACTCATGTACAAATAAATACTCCTTTGATAAACACTCTTCATCCTGAGGAGATAAAAATATAACTGTTAAGAATATTTTAAAATCCCCTTACAGACTGAAATGCAAGTTGCCGAGATTTTCCCAAGAGACTGCAGCATGGGTTTCTTCAAAAGGGAGGTAAAGAGGTTTCTTCAGGGTCGGCCTCTGGTATTGCAGGTGTTCATAGGCTACGGTAACCACTTATCATCAGGTGGGCCGTATACTTGTTTGCCACCACAGTGGTATAAAAAACAAATTAACAACTAACTTTACAAGCATAATGGATCTGAAAAAGTCATAGTGCTACGATTCTTAATTACCCGAGATATTTCCAAACTTCAGAATAAAACTCTCTAGCGATAAAAGGCACTAATAAAATATCAAATAGAGGTGAGAATCGATAGTGAGTAATCAGCTATAACATTGTATTCAAATACAGATATTATCCCTCTTTTGTTTCACATTAGGTAAGCGAAGAGACTGAGAAAGTTAATCTGCTGAATCGCTTCCATAGAAGCGTTTCACCATTGAACCTTCATAATCCGTAGGGTATACCCAACCCATTTCACTTTAGACTACGCAAGGGCTGCACTAAATTGAATGGTAAGTAAATATAGTCATGTTGATGTATATTTGAGACTTTCACGAGAGCGCGTTTTAGTTATCTACTTTGGTTTACTGATACAATATTCAGTGCAGAGTAGTGATATAAGTAGTAATACACGGGTGGTGTATTAGGTAAATTGAAACACTTTTAGAATTAATTATTGGCACTTGACAAAATTTTGAGTTTAATATTTTTTTCGGTAATCATTAATTATATTTCATTACATTCATAAAAACTTT